CAAGAGGCTTGAGAAGTGTGGTCTTGCCGGCACCGGCCACCCCCGTAAGCATCGCTATCCTGCCGCTCTGCCCCAAGGTATGAACGGCTTTACGCTGCGCCTGCCCATGCTCCGATGTAAAATCCAGACCTGAGCGGGCAATCGCATCCTCAATGGCTTCTTTTCCGAGAGCCCCGCTCCGATCAGATGAAGCACGAGCAATATGTATGGCGAGATCTTCTTCCAGTCTGATTTGCTCAGTATGTGTGACCCTCTCACGCTCTCCTTTCATCTCAATAATGAGCTGTACTTTCTGACCGCGCACCTCAATGCCCCGTTTTTCCGTCAACTCAACAACGGCATCTATGTCAGATATTCCGCCCTCAATACCCGTAGCAATCAGGCCTCGTGCAGCATAAGTCCGCAGTTTCTGGTGATCGATGACAGCGGTTGTTTCAAACTCCTGACCAAGATGCTTGGCAACGAAACGCCACGCTTGATCAAGCCGCTGATGGCGATCCAAGCCGGTATCAATCTCCGGCCCCATAAGGCTTTGATCTACCCAACCCAACTCCTTAGCCTGACGCTTCCAAATATCGTGGTCGTCAGCGTCCAGATCCTTACCCAATCGGGCGGCCAACCCCGCCATTGAAAGCATTTTCTGCTTTCGTTCGATTGACAATCCCTCCCACTCCAGACCTTGTTCCGAGGCGTAGGACTGAGCAGCTTTCAGGACGTTGCGGCGACCTTTGCTGAAAAAATCTGAAATCTCCTGTGGCACGGCAGAGATGACGGTTGCCTGTTCATTGGCGTCATACGTCTGGGCAATGCCAATTTTACGCAATTCCTGAGCAAGGATGGCCTGAAAGTAAGCGCCAAACTCGTGAACACGCGATCGAAGCTGTTTTGTATCCAAAGACCCGACATGACCATCATCTGTGACAACCATGTTGAACATCGTGTTGTGAAAATGGGCATGAGGATCACCACCAGCCGGCGTGTCAATCAGGTACGTCTGATTGCTCTCAGGATCTAACGCCTCGACCGTTGGCCGCGCTGTCGTGTGGCGGTATGTTACCCATGCAACATGCCCTTCTTCAGCACCATCCTTCCCACCCCGGCCGCGTCTCGCTAGTCCCAGTTCACGGGCCACATACCGCATAGTTTCGTCGTTAGCGACCTGCATTGCATGCCAGATAGCGGCGCGTTCTGCGTCAGTTTCGGCAAACTCTGCCGCCAGTGTGACGGACTTATGAGGGGCCAGTGTCAGATCATAGGCGCTGATTTTGCGCTGGTGCGCTGACCATTCCTCGCCATTGTCAGCCCGTTTAGCTTCATAGAGGCGGGCAAGCTGCTCTCGGGTGGGAGGCTTGAAACGGTCAATGCCTAATGCCTCAGCAGCTCGCCACGGCATATCTGGACGCCAGGACGCACGACCGTCGCGCCCGGTATAATAATTTGTCAAACGTGCGCCGTCGCTATCGGGCGTCTTTGACGGATCCAAACGGCAGTCACTCTCCGGATCAGGAATATCCTGTAGGTAATAATTAGAGATTATCTGTCCTCTGCAGGCCGCAGAGATTTTCCGAAAGGTCATCATTCCTCTGCACCGTCCTCTCCCGCTGAATCCGGGTGAGAACGTGGCGTACGTCCTTCAAGAAGATCCAGCGATGCGCCCGTGGTATGGTCAATGCGGCGAAGAACAGGTCTTTGGTCAGCTATGAGGGTGACAATGCGTGCCAGCAGATCATCCAGCGAGGGCCCCTCTCGTTCTTCTGGGGTCAGCAGTTCGAGTATGAGTGTCTGGCGTTGATGCAGAGCACGCAGTGATTCATGGATCGCATCAAACTGCTCATCAACGTGAGCACGCCATTCTGCTGTTGTTGGTTCTGAAGGCTTTGTCATCACTTTCTATCCTGTAGGCCCAAAATGATGCCTCAGGATCATGAAAGATGATGCGACGAGAAAGGGCTCACGGAGAAAAGAGCGCTTTCTTCGTGTATAGAAAGCGCTCTCACGTTTACCAGCAAATACGTGTTGGCGCCATAAATTTGGAACCAATACTCTTCCTTCTCATGGAAGCAGATTAGGCCCCTTCAGGTGATATAGCTGTAACGGGCTCAAAGTAAGGGCCAGTGCCAAGTTTATCATCCAGCAGCCGCATAACCGTGGATAGACGGCACATATACTGGCGCATTTGATCCGACCGCTCACTATTTTGCCCGAAAGCAAACCAACTGATTTGCACGAGCTTCACCAGATGAATGAGTTCTAGAATATCCAGATCATAAGACCACGGACGTTTTGCTTCGCTTAACGCTCTTTCGACAGAGAATTTTCCGTTCATGCGAGTCACCAGATGACGGGTTGATTGATAGATATCTCCCTCTTTCAGCTCCTCTAGAAGACGTAGATCTTCCTTAGTGAGACTAGCCCGAAGGTCAACGTCATCTTGGCCTTTATCAGGCCGATATTCTCCAGTGCGACGTATCTGGGGCAGAACTTCTTCCGTAACCCAGCGACGCACCCTCTTCGCTACCGGCTTACGAGAAATGAATGTCAAATGGTAAAGACCACTTTCGTTCACCACTAGGACTTCTTGAGGCCCACCAATAGTTTGAATGTAAACGCGCCTCCATTCATCTTCATCAAGCCTAGAAACAGCATCTCGGTAGTTCCTCAGAGAAAGCATATTACAAATTTCTTTCGCTACTACCCATTGCTGGCTATCAATAACGACTACTCCCAATTTTTCACTCTCAAACGAGAGACCATTTTTTTCAATTTCAACGCAATTACTTATTTGCGACCGTTCATCCACTCGCATTTCTTTAGTCATCGCTCTGGTCCTTAACGGGTTAAGTAGACCTCTCGACCATGCGAAATGATGATGCGACGAAAACCAAAAAAATAAAACAGGGAATTTTTTCCCGAGAGTGACCTACTTTGCGTCTCAGCCAGATGGAGGCGGTAGGAGGATTTTGACCTCGCGCCTGCCTGACGGCTTTAACGTATTCATGCACCGGCTCACTCATATAGTCATCTCCGTGAGAAACTCATCCCCCCATTCAAATTTCCCGATCCTCCTATGAAACCACCCGTCGGTAATGCCGACACCCTTTCTCCGTTTGCCCAATCCTGGCGGCGTAGCCGCCGCACTGAGGGTGCAATGGTGTATGAAGGGCCTAAATTTGGTGGAACGGACGTGGGACGCATATGGGGCGGAAACGGAACGGAAACCCCACAGATATGGGACGCCATGAGGAACGGAACCCCCACGGAAATGGAACAGAAAGCCCCACAATCGTGGAACGGAAAAGCGGATATCGTTTTCGGTCGCATCTTGGAAGCGCACCCTCAGAGGACACTGAGGCCAAGAGAGAGACCCATGAAGTTCGCAAAGCTGAAAGAACGACTCAAAACGCAACCGCGCAAGCGCACGACAGGAAAACTCTATCAGTGGCTGTTTGAAAACCACGCAGAACTGTTGGAAATGCGGCTACCTGGTGAAATGTGGTTGCCTTACATAGAACTCGCCATTGAGGACGGCGTGCCTATCAAGACTGATACCAGGTCGATACAGCGTGTGCGCAAAACATGGCACCTCGTTTGTCGAGCCAAAGCCAAACGGGCTCAAGCCCTTGCCACCTCAGACATGGAAAAGCCAAAGAATGATGAGAATAACGACAGGCCCATCATGCCCAGCCGCTTGCCCGCCGACTGGACACCAGAGTTTGTTGATATCCCACAACCTGCCCCGCCATCTGTTCAGCCAGTGCCTCAAAGCTCCTCTCTGACGCTCAAAACCGAGACGGTTCCTGCAGGTGCCCCCATGACGATGGAGAAAAAAATAGACAAAGCTCGTTTCACCCTTGGTCAGGCCAAGTTCGATCTTACGTTGGCCAAGGAACAGATCAGGCGAAATGACAGTCAGGGTGCGCCGATGCTCGTCAAGGAAGTAGAGGCAAAGCTCCCAGAACTAAGAGAGATCATCAAGCAAAGGCGCGCCCTCTATGATCGTCTTCTGGCAGGCGAGGATGTTCCAGAGGAAGAATTGGAATTCAAATCGCCACGCGAGAGGGAAGAAGAGCAGTATTCTGGCTGAAGAGGCTTTTTCATTTTTTTTCTGTGGAATTCCTATCTGGTCGCATGATGAAGCGGTGAAATCCTTCTGAACGGCACTCTCATGATTGCGCGGTACCGCACCAGAAAAGGATGATTCAATGACTGCAACCAGAACGGATCCAGCAAAGGCCCAACCTGCCAAGCCAGCCCGCACAAAACCCCCTGTGCTCCTGACAGCAGTCGGTCGGCAACGCACAGGCAAGACTGTTTTTCTGAATGCTCTGACTGAGACAGTAACCCGTCAAGGCGGCGATGTAGAAGTCTGGAATACAGACCTTTTGAACGTCTCCCATTCCATCGCGCACTTCCACCCCAATACAAGGAAACCCGCAACCGGCAATCTCAAGGAGCAGAAATCCTGGCTGGAACAGCAGATCGAAGGCATGGTGAAACGCCAGAAAGACGTGATACTTGATATCGGCGGGGGCTGGACTGCCTTCCACGAAATCATCAATAGCACCCCTCTTGTGCCGCAACTCGCCAAGCTGGGGATCAAGGTTGTCGTGGTCTATATGCTCGGCACGGAACTGGCCGATGCTGACTACCTGCAGGATCTGCAAGAGAAACGGCGCTTCCTGCCCGGCCACAGCATCATCGTGATGAACCGTGGCTTACTGCCGCTTGGTTACTCAAACAACAGCCATTTCGACAAAATCCGTCAGACACCGGCCGTCATGAACGCCACGGTAGATGCGTCAGATGACAATGGCGGAATTTACTTCCTGCCGGAATTGGACGGTATGGACGAAATCACGGATCGTCGGATGTCTTACGCAGACTTCATTGATGACAAGAATGTCGAGGGCCATCCACCCAGCGGTCTTTTTGACCGGATGCGCGCAGAAGTCTGGTTTCACCGCTCTTTCCCCGAGTTTCTTGCACAGATTGACCCTAGCTGATTTGAGCTTGGTATTAATTAGGTAAGTAATGGATACACACTATTAAAAAAAATTAAATATGTAAACTGTTACGTCCTTGTACTAACTCTTTTAAGCTCGTTATGTAAGTGCAACTGACTTAAAAAACAAGCGTATTTTTATAAAAAACGTACTGTAAAATTAAAACCAAAAAGTGTTAATTTGAAAGGCAAATTAATGGGGCATATTAATGACTTGTGTTTTTAACCTTAAACCTAAACTACTTCTAGTACTCTCCAAAATTTTATTTTAAGTTTAAACTAAATAGATAACTTAATGACAAGAGGTTTATTAATTGATGAAATCGAGCTGCTTATAAAAAAATTAAATAATTAAATAATAAAAAAATAATTAAATATTTTTCAAATGTAAAATAAATAACAATAAGGTAATACAAATAATTACAAAAATGATGTAACTTTATTCCAATTTTCGTCTTGTCAAGGGGTCTAGTCTGCAATCTATTCTAAAATCAGAAACTTGATTAATTCTAGCTGCTCATAAATAAAACCAGAGCAGCGCCGAGCACTTTAAACGCTGAATCTGAATTCCGCTTAATTGATCACTACTCTGGGCAATTAAAGTCAGCGGGGAGGCATTAAGTAGATCAGATTAATTGTTTGACGTGTTTGTGGTTTCATTACACGCAAAGATTCCCGAGAGTTGAGCATGCATACATATATATGGACGGATATGTGTGCTTGTTCTGTGGTGTGGATGGTCAAGTGTTTGCTGGCCAGTGTGTTTGAACATGCCACCTGTCGTATGCGTAATGTGCCAACGAGCTCTTCAAGGGCTGGGTGAGCACATGTCGTTGCCAAACAGGTTTCAAGTGCCCTGAACACACTCATTGAAGTCCCTGGATTACTGAAGGATTGGGGACTGGGAGTTTGGGGCTTGCATTTGAGGGATTAAATGGTTCGAATGGGTTGTGATGATATTTGTGGCATTTCTGCAAGAATCTGACCCATTGAAGAGCACTTGTTTCGGATTTATGTTTTTCACAGATTTCAAAGTGCGGCGGCGGGAACTTCACGTTTTGGGTCAAGGACACGACGGGTTATATAGTCGCAGATGTCACCCACCGGACATATATCCAAATCAAAGACGCCCACGCCACACGATAACGATAACAATAGCATAAGCGACGACCGCGAAACATGGAGCGGCAAAGTGGATTTTTTATTATCGGTTATTGGATTCGCCGTCGATTTAGCAAACGTCTGGAGATTTCCCTATTTGTGCTACAAAAATGGCGGTGGTAAGTACTTCTCTTCTATATTAATGCAAATATTATATGCAAAAAAAACTTAACAAAAAAGAAAGTACATACCTCTGAATGTATCTGAAATATTTATTTTTAAATGTGAAACGAAATGTGTTTAATTTAATTATGGTAAAATATGATTGTTGTTAGAAGATTTAAATCTCTGAAAAATAAAACGTTGTTATATGTTTAAACAAAAACTTTTTAAACAAGTTGTTAGCCATAAACAACAAAAGTTGGGACCTAATTTTAATATTTATATAAATCATATTAAGGAGGTTTATGCAGAACATTTCTTTAGAAGCTACTTAGGAAAAAGACGTATTACAATACCAAAGTCAATAATTGAGATGACCAATGTAGGTGATTTTTTCTCCGTGTGAGCTGGCCAATTAGGGGATAAAGACATTTCGTGAACCGCTTCGGCTGAGTGAAAATAATTTATATGGCTTTACACATCATTGGGCTCGCCACGGAACCCGTCGCTTTCCGCCTTCTGCATTTCCCTTTCGGCCTTGTTAACACTTTGTCAAAGTGGTGCGAAGTGCTGCCATTGGGGGCGGAGTGGGGCGGTGGTGGAGCAGCTTTCTTTTGTCAAATGGCAGGGTTTTCCCTCGCTGAAAGAGCGGCAAAGGACATACACTTGAACACTTACTTCGCTTCCTGATCCTCGTCGACAACGACGCCATCATTCAAAACAATTCCAAAAGTTAAGTGCTTCTGTATGACAACTAAATCTGGCAGTCATAATCGCATTTGGCCTGCTTACCCTCATTCACTCTCTTTCACCCCATTTCAGGGCAATATGTCAGCCTGCTTTTGTGGAGTTCTCTAGGCTTTTGTTGCTGGAGCACTTTCCACCATCGCATTGTGGGAAATTCATGTGCGAAACATGTCTCCATCTCCACCTCCAGTACCCCCATTTTCCCCTGATTGCGGCACATTCCCACTGATGCGTTGTGAATGGATGTGGCTCACGGGGCCGTCGATATAGTTATTGCTATTTTATGAGTTTCTGTTTTTTTTTTTGCTGCTCTCCTCCAGCTTGCTGTTGCCTTTAAAATCATAATAATAAATTGTTATATTTATACGCTTCATTGCGTTCAATCAGTGGCTCCGGCTCCAGCTCCAGCTTAAGTTCCACTTTATGTCCGTTGCCAGGGCAGGCTGCGATTATTACCGCAGCTTAGTCGGTATTATTTATTCTGTTTCCCATTTTCCTGCTGCCTGCAACGCGAAAGTAGAAGCTTTTGTGGCAGCAACAGGCTGTGCCCTCCACATTGTCCTGGATTATGGCTAAAACCCAAGGAGCAGGCCCTTGTCTCAGTCCGAGATCGCGCATATGTACCACAGGTGTTCGCACACAGCTTAAATGTGCATTTAAATGGTATATTCCAGCATTTCTAGTTCTATTAACGATTTAAACATCATATTACAATTAAAAGTTATACATTTCAAAAGAAAGAGAATACGATATTATAAAGATTTAGGATTTATGTATTTTCTTATATTTTATCAAAACCTCTAATTTTTGCAGTAAAGTAAAGATAGCTATGTGATTAAGACACTTTGCAAATACAATTTTTTAAATTATCGTTGAGGTCATTTAACAAATAAATAAACAATATATCTCAAGTGCCAAAGTGCCTGGCGAACAATTTGTTTTAAGAGGATGATTCAGAAATAAGATTTATTTTCAATTTTTATTATAAATAAATATTTTGTTTTCGATAAGTTTCGAAATTGAATGAAAACTTATCACAAAAGCTTTTTTACGCAAAAAAAATGTGTATGTACATAAACAAAACAGAAGTTTTTTTTGTTTTGAACTTTCTGAAGCCAAGTTTATAATTTATAAAAATATATAACCAAATTTTTAAAACAAATTTAATGGAAAATCAATCTGATAGACCATAACCAGCATGAAATGTCCGTAAAATAATGGGCAAGCTAGGACCGAAATATGACCAGGGAATCGAATTAGAGACACATATTTCCACAGTGTCCCCGACAAGCTGCTGGAAAATGGGGGAAATGCACTTGAAGCAACGGAAATTATGGCTTCAACAACAGTGACGGGCGTCATAGATGCCTCGACTTTATTTTAGACGGTTTTGTTTCCAACATTTTCAACATAATTGACACGACAGAAGGAAGCGTCGGAGCTGGCATTGCCTTTGTAGCTACCTACATATAAAATGCCCCTGCATATATATGTAGTAGACTATGTATGTATGTAATGGCCCTAGACGACTTTGTCGGCCACTTTGCCTGCTAATAGACATAATCAAATCATAAAAACATCATCCCCTGCCACTCGACAAAGTATCGATGGCACTCTACCAATTGTCAGAGCCAAAAGGGGGTGTAACGTTGACTTGGGTTTTCCGGAGGTGACGGAGATGACGGAGATGACTGCAGGAGACAGCCGAGCCACGCTTTCCCCCGCCTTTCCCCCGCCTTTCTCTCGCCTTTCTCTCGCCAGGCTGCTGTTAATGTTTTTAAAATGTCCTTAGAGTGGCACTTGTAGAACAATTTGATTTTGTGTACCATCGAACATACATAAAAGTCGGGTGTCTATGTCGGAAATATGTGTGTAATTATGTTTGTCGACAAGGGCAGAGCGAACAATGCAGAGATTGTGACACGGGTCAGTCTTTATATATGACGGTTATGCAATCATTATCATTAAAAAGTTAGTGACTGTGCCTGCACCTAAAAAGGGTAGTTATGGTAAGGGAAAAGTAAATGTGATTTGTTCAACGTTCACAAACATTTCCTTTGCATTTTAGGAAGTGATTTAAATTATTTTAACCTATTAAATCTACTTAAAAGTCCAAAGATATTTTGAAAACCAATTGTAGTTACTTACTTATTAGATATCTTTAGTTTTAAGAAATAAAAAATATGGCTTGAGTAACATAATTGTCGAATTCCAGGCGCTTTTCTTGTGCCCTACGGCATTATGTTGGTGGTCGGTGGTATTCCTCTATTCTACATGGAATTGGCCCTGGGGCAGCACAATCGTAAGGGAGCCATTACGTGCTGGGGTCGCCTAGTGCCACTCTTCAAAGGTAAGACCATAAAACTATCCCCATGAACCCACGAGTGAGCATTGTGTTTTTCTAGGAATCGGCTATGCCGTGGTGTTGATAGCCTTCTATGTGGACTTCTACTATAATGTGATTATTGCCTGGTCGTTGCGTTTCTTTTTTGCATCCTTCACCAACTCGTTGCCTTGGACGTCATGCAATAATGTTTGGAACACACCAAATTGTAGACCGGTAAGTGCATTTCGAACTAAGTATTGATAACTTGATAACTTCATCTTTTCTATCAGTTCGAGAGCCAAAATATTTCTCGTCTTCCGCTGATAGGCAACTACAGTGACTACTATGTGTTGGGCAACCAAACCCTGCTCTACAATGAGTCGTATGTAAATGGTTCAATAACAAGTTTGGAGTCACCTTCGGGTGGTCACATGGAGGGTTTTCAGTCTGCTGCTTCAGAGTATTTTAAGTGAGTACGATTAATGTTTTCTTTTCTCAATACAGCATGCATTTGTTTCCAAATATAGCCGCTACATTTTGGAGCTCAACCAGAGCGAGGGAATCCACGATTTGGGGGCCATTAAATGGGACATGGCGCTGTGCCTTCTGATTGTCTACTTAATCTGTTACTTCTCCCTGTGGAAGGGCATCAGCACTTCGGGGAAGGTGGTCTGGTTTACGGCCCTCTTTCCCTATGCGGTGCTACTAATTCTACTGATCAGGGGCCTCACACTGCCCGGATCTTTTCTGGGCATTCAGTATTATCTGACGCCCAATTTTAGTGCCATCTATAAGGCTGAGGTGTGGGTGGATGCTGCCACCCAGGTGTTTTTCTCCTTGGGTCCAGGATTCGGAGTGCTCTTAGCATATGCATCCTACAATAAATATCACAATAATGTGTACAAGTAGGTTTTGGTCTTAGTAGCAATTTGATTATATACGATAACTTTATAATTGTTCCACAGAGATGCCTTGTTAACCAGTTTCATCAATTCGGCAACCAGTTTTATAGCAGGCTTTGTGATATTCTCCGTGCTGGGCTATATGGCTCACACTTTGGGTGTGAGAATTGAGGATGTGGCCACTGAAGGACCTGGTCTGGTTTTTGTGGTATATCCAGCTGCCATTGCCACCATGCCGGCCAGCACTTTCTGGGCACTCATATTCTTCATGATGCTGCTCACTTTAGGTTTGGATAGTTCGGTAAGTCTTTTTGTTTTTTTTTTTATTAATCATTTTTTATTTTTTAAATATTTCATTCCATTTTAGTTTGGTGGCTCCGAGGCTATCATCACCGCCTTGAGCGACGAGTTCCCAAAGATCAAGAGGAACCGGGAGCTGTTCGTTGCCGGCCTGTTCTCATTGTACTTTGTGGTTGGACTGGCCAGCTGCACCCAAGGTGGCTTCTACTTCTTCCACCTGCTGGATCGCTATGCTGCCGGCTACTCGATCCTGGTGGCCGTATTCTTCGAGGCCATCGCCGTTTCCTGGATCTATGGAACGAATCGTTTTAGCGAGGACATCAGAGATATGATTGGTTTTCCACCAGGAAGATACTGGGTGGTGTGCTGGCGCTTCGTGGCTCCGATTTTCCTGCTCTTCATCACGGTTTACGGCTTGATTGGCTACGAACCATTGACATATGGCGACTACGTGTACCCACGATGGGCCAACGCTCTAGGATGGTGCATAGCCGGTTCGTCAGTGGTAATGATTCCGGCGATAGCTATATTCAAATTACTTTCGACGCCGGGCAGTCTGCGACAGAGACTCACCATTTTGACCACACCGTGGCGGGATCAGCAATCAATGGCAATGGTGCTGAACGGGGTCACCACCGAGGTCACCGTGGTGCGATTAACCGACACGGAAACCGCCAAGGAACCCGTCGATGTCTGAGCTCGACCAATGGCTCGTTTTCAAATTTACTACGTTTAGATTTGGAAATTTACCAACAACTCACGTTCACGTACTTGTGGCATTGCAGGAAAGTTAGTGTTTTTCGTTCGACATTAGGAGCAGGTCCTGCAGGATCGGCAATTTTCGCAAACAACGTACTTAGGTTTCGGCACCGAAAGTGAAAACCAGCAAGCGAGAGTAGCTTCAAACCAATAGTAGTCCTAGGTTTAAAATTAGCTTGTAGTTCGTATGGTTAATGCCAGCTATAGCATACACATATATATATACAATGCTGTGTAGATAATACCAAATCCGAAAGTACGAAACACTCGTCAGATAGTCTTCAAGTGGAATTCTCGAAGGGAAAGTTTGCATATGCCAATGGAATTAACGACACGATCACGGCTCAAATCGGGCATAGAATTTGTACATACACAAGTAAAGGTGATGTAAAAGCTTTAAACACGTTGTAGGACATCTCATGGAACTGAAGCAAAAGCTGCCACAGTTGAACCACAAAATGCCCTCAAACAGCCATGAGGGCATTTTGTCATATGCAGAGGTTTGTTCTAGACTAATTTCACCCCCGTCCAAGCAACTGCGATTGTTTGCTTAAAACAGCCATTTTAAGCAATCAATTGGGAGTTATCAAACATTCCCAATTCAAAAATCGTTTCTGTATATAGATTTTTGATATTTTAGAATTGTTTTAAGAGTTTTTACACGCTGAAGCAGAACTAACAGCCATGAGTTCTGTTTCAAATTGTTAAAATAAATTATTATACTTTCAGTTACTGAAAATGGAGTGTGGTTTTTGGACTTGGGGGTTGGTTGAACACCCAAATCTATCAGTAAGCTGTGATATTTCCTGAAAATTAAAAATATCAAATCAAAGTCTTTAGTGTACTCTTGATTATATATTCGGGGTTTTTATTCCAATTTGTTCGCTTTTGTTTTCTTGTACAATAATTTCAATTAGTAACGTATAAAATTAAAGAGGGAACCGTAACGAAACCAACTCAAATGGTTTCCAAATCGATGACTTGTATCAAGTAGCGCAGTTCTAGATAAATATTGAACTCTCTCACAGAATCGCAGCTTTTGAGTAGTATTCTTAGTTCGGGGTACATATGGCATATACGATATATTTGTATGTCGTGTACTTCATACAGCACTATGTAAGCTTTGCATTAAAAATATATATGTTATGTGTGATTAGTTCGGATGGTGGAGGTCTAACTCCCTGGTAATTGATACTCGTATAACATGTTGCGGTGTATGCAGATTACGTATGTTGGTCGGGTTTTTGGGCTAAGGTTGCGATTAGGGTGCGTCTAGTTGGGTTTGTTTTGTGAGCAAATATGCAAATATTATTAGTTCGGTTATGGTATGGCTATAGAGCGGATTCTAACCCAATAGAGCTAAGCATATGTACAGTAAATATTTTTGATTCTGATCTTTTTGCTATGGTATACGGGCTATGTATCGTATATATATTTGCTCAAAGTTTTAGAGATATTCTGTTGATGCGGTTACAACTTTTTGCGGGTAAAGGGAAGTTTTGCGATTGCGCCAACTTGAAATTTTGTGTGTTTACATATGTGGTTTTTTGTGCTCGTCGATGATTCGCTAACTAAGTCGTTAATATGTAGATGTATGTTGTGCAATAACGCCTAAAATCAATACATACAATGTAATATGCAATATGCAATAAGCAACAAATACAATCTTGCCACTGAAAGACACTTTCTGAATTGACAAATGACCTAAGTGAGTGTCTGATGGAATCACTTAACTGGCTCTGATTAGATGTATAACAGTTATAAAATCTAGTTCATATTACGTCCGTGCATTGAGATTTTTTCGGTGGATGTTATATATAATATATATTTTTATAAGGTATATATCTATTATTATGACATCAGCTATTACTTCAGTAGAAAATAACAGTTAATCCGACCTTAAAGCATTCGTTTTTGTTCGAAAATTAAATTTTCATTCGAGCGCACACAAAACATGTTTTATATTTAGATTCAATTTTCGTTAAACTTTCGGAGAAATATTTCTAGAGGATACAGCACGGAATAAAGCCTTTGAGGCCCACCATTGGAACCCTTTCGGTTCATTGCAAAAGCGATAAGTTTTATCGTTCCGTAAGTAAGGTAAGTGTAAGTAATTCAACTATAAAGGCTACATTGGGAAACAATCGATTATAAACAATACGAATTTGTTGTCAATTATTATAAGTACCAAGTCTACGTAATAGGAAAAATGCCTAAAGTAATTGCCTTATGTATGCTTAAAATTTACTGTAATGCACCAAGAGATTTCACTTTCAGTTTTGTCAGCGCCATAAATATATCCATATATCAGTATCCAATTACAATCATTCAGATCAACATACATATATACGCGTACTTGTTTATAATAAGTACAAGCAGACATCATGTTTGAGATACCTAGTCCAACATTCATATTCGAATTATTTGCTATGCACTTTACGAATATCATATATATATCATTTCAGAGTGAGTCCGGAAATCCTTGTCCTTATTTTGATTTACTTAGGTCTGTTGGATTGAGCTCAAAAATGCTGGATCCACTGAGGCCACTTTTGCCGTGAGAAAAGCATGCATGCAGAAAAGCAGACTTTGCAGGACCTGGCATTCCAGTTCCTAAAGGAAAATAAAGATAATAATTGGAAGTATTAGTAAGTGGATTCATAACTATTCTTTAACCTTCAAAATTTCTAAACTTTAAATATTGCTTAAATTAGCTTGTAAAGTTCAAAATGCCATAAGATTTCTCAGCTTACAATCAACTCTTATTTTATCATAAGTATACAAAAATTTAAGTTCTTAAGTTATTTTAAGTTAAATATATACCCTGCTGATCTCATCTGATTTTCCGTGTTTAAATTTTGAATTTTTAAGTAAACTTACCTTTGTTTCGATTGCTCGGCTATCGTGATCCTGAAAATGCAACTTCAGCTTGGATTTGCCATCATCGCTGGAGCCTCTCAGCTGGGAGAATTTATACTGCCAGACTGTGGCGGAATCGGCGCCTTCGGTTAGTGAAAAACCAGCTTGCCAATCCAAGGTGAGTCCACCACTTTTTCCATGATGCGAAACGGCAAAGGTTTTACGCTGAGGAAAATACAAATTTATTCCAAGTGTAGGCATGAGAAGCAAGTGTATAACTTACCCCCAACTTAATCACACTGGTCACAATGGCAGCATTCCAGCTGTTCTCGATCCTCAAAAGCTCCTGTCGCGTTTCCACGCTCAAATAGCGGGGTTCGTGACCCGAACTTTGCAGCAGGAAACAATGCTGGCGACTGTCCACTGTCTCCGACTCCTTGACAATTCGGAACATGGTCTGATAGACCTTGTAGACCACCAAAGCCTTGCTGATGCCAGTCACATTCAACTACGAATAAATCGAAATAATATATTAGTTACTTGCAATCAAAACTAAACATGACTAGCTGACTCACTGGTGGCGTTTCGAAAAGCATCACTTCAGTGCCTTTGAGCAGTAGAAATCTGGGCTTATAACTCTGCCACGATATATTGTTGTTTATGACACCCTCATTCACCCAACCCATATACTCGATGCGCTCGCCCACGGCAAAGTTTCTATTATATAGCTTCATCTGTTCGGGAAAATAAATATTTAGCAAGCAAATATCTATGTAATTGACTATTTTCTTACCTGTAACTGCGTCAGGCCCACCACATTATCCGTGATCAATTTTAGCCATTGACTAAGTATGGCCAGTTCATCACAGTGTATGACACCAGTTGTGATTCCATTCAGACCACGTACTTCGAAGGCGTTTTGGCGCAGCTTATCGGTGCCATAAATATATCTCGTTACATAGGCCATCATTAAAGGTACTACGGGTTACAAGGGATATTATATTGTTTTAAATAGATCGGGTTATAAAATAAATTAGATTTATTAAAATTATTTAAAGAATGAAAAGATTTCTAGTGATATCATAGCAACATTCAGTGAAAAGCAGTTTTGAGAAGGGTACAATTTAAAAACTATTATCGTCTTTGACTCTAAGCTAGAACCAGTGATTACTGTTATTGAAATTTGTGTTTTTTTGTTTGTTTAATGATAACAATGGTAAAAAGTAGGTACTTTTACTATACACAGTGAGTCTAAACACTATTTCCAATATTTTTCGAAAGAAACCAGTTGGTTATCAAGCCATAAATGATTAATTACTTTGTGTTTTATTTTCAATCTGTTAGTAAAGTAAATATATTTTGGTTTTCTTTGTTTTTAATGCTAGAAACCTACCTGCCACCACATCGGTCCATCGTTTTTCGGGCTCCGAGCAAATGGACATGGGGCGACTGCAGCTGCGACTGATGGTGCCACTGTTGACGGAGGACTTGTAGCCCTCGTCGGCCTTCAGTTCGGCACAAGTGACATCGTTGTCAGAGTCGGGCGTGTCCTTGGTTACTAGGATGTTGAAAAATGGTTCAATTGATAATTACTGAGGTATACAAACACACTACTCACATTGCTTTTGAAGGAATGGCGTGGCAGCGCGATAGTGCTTCACAGTGAGCACTACTATATCCCCAGCGTTTCTCAATATATTGACCGCATCGTCGTGGGGACATGCGGTGATGTATTCCCCGTTCACCTTGATGATGGCATCGCCCACAAACAGCTGACCCGTAATGTCCGCCGCTTGATCTTTATAGATGCGCGATATCAAGATGGGCAGCTTGTGCTCGGCTCCACCTTTTATGCTCAGTCCTAGGCCGCCTTGTTTTTGGCGCGTAATTTGAACCATGCGCTCCTGATAGGTTAGTTCTTTAACATCTGAACAGGTCACATATTTAACTACCAAATCTCACCTTCGATTCCATGGGCGGTCCATTGGGATGACAACTACTGGGGGTAACCACTTCCAGCTTTTGCAGCGAAAGTAATTCCATTGTAAGATTTAGTCGCAGGGGTTCTGGTCTGCTCTTGCCATCGCTCACATGGACCATGCCAGTTCGCACCTGTAAAATATAGAATCTTGTAGAGATCCATACCATTAAATAATATTTTTGGGGTTACCTTCAGGTTTTGATCGATTTTTTCTTCTATTGGCGTCGCCATGGTGTCAGAGAGCTTCATAGTTCCTAAAATCATAAAGAGAAGAGTGATTTTCAATGTGATTTATGAACTAAAACAAGAATGTTGTGGGCTTTAAGATTTATAAAAAATGATTTATTACCCATTTACATCGAGAACACATACAAACATATATTAATACTATTGTTAAGTGACTCTTAAGATTAAAAAGCCATAATCATAATGCCAAAAACCCCAAATATTTCCATTTTTAGACACGAATTAAATTATGTAAAAGGTCAAAAGTGACATGTCAATCTTTTTAGAACTTTCAGATTAGTTGGCTTGATTGATTTGCGGGAATAATGAGTTCACTGCGAAGGGTTTGCAAAAGGTTGAGCTGTTGCCTGACTTGTGGCAATAATAGGACGGCTCTACCCTTGTTAACCGATCCGCTGGCCGCCAACCAAGTTGGCCCAGACAAAAAGGCCATTTCTAAGAACTTGTCGACGTTTGCGTTAACATAATCGTGTCCATGGCAATGGATTGTGAAACAATTGCAATCAAATCGGGAATCCGGCTCCAGTGGCCTTTATCGATTGCCATTTTACACGTAACAGACACCAAGTAAAACAAAGCAACGCAGTTGCAATCATCGCATATTGAA